CACATAAAAATAAAAAAATTAATTCATATACTTTTCAAATTTGTTGAAATCCACTCTTCTACTATTTTTTATAATTTTTTAATTCATGTGTTTTTATATTAAAATTAAAAAAAAAAAAACAATAAACCACATAAAAAAGAAAAAAAAATTTAACTCGAATTTATTAAAATTTACTCTTCTATTATGTTTTATAATTTTTCAATTCATATATTTTTATATTAAAATAAATCAATTCATATTTTTTAAAATAAATCAATTTCAATTTAACTACTATGTCATAATATATCATATTTCTGCCAAACCCATTGATCAAGCGTTAAATTATGTGCTGATCTGGACATAATGCGATGACATGGCAATGAAAACTCCGGTTGGTAATTTCTCCTTTCGCGGGGAAATCCATTTTCCTTTTCTCATAGCAGAGAATCCGAAAACGCCATAGCAGCACTCCACGATGCAATCGTAAAAGACATGCGTAGTTCTCGGATTCAGCCTGCGGGATATCACGCAAGTTTAATCCTCGGAGCGCTCCATCCCGGTTGCAGAGAGAGATCCGGTGAAAACTCGGGGTGAATTTGCAACATCCATGCTGGAATTCGCCGACCCAAATCCAGATTTTATAGCCTGTAAAGAAGAAAACAAAGCCTATTGTGAATTCCTTGTTTTGATAACAAACTCCCGAGTGGATTTGGACAATTATACCGGAGAAAGAACTGGGGGAGGCAACTGAACTGGGTTTCATTGATTTTGTAGCATTGCATCTTGGGTATTGTAAACAACCAAAGCAACAAGCTTTCTTCAAGCTTTCAACAATGGAGATGGTGGATTTAGAGAGGGAAAAGGCAAGAACTTACTTTGAAAATCTCTCAAAATTTCTCTCAAATGTGTGAATGGATAGAAGATAGGGTGAATTGCTTTCCTAATCAAGCATGCGCAATGATTTGTTGCAAGAAATTTAAGTTTGGCGATTATTTGAAGGAGTTAATGCATGGATTTTTTTAAAACGAGACCGACGGTCTTGTGGAGTTCGGTGGAAGAAAACGAATTTTTGGAGTTTCACGAAAAAAATCCATGTATTAAAAAAGGTTTAATATTGGTCCCTAAACTTTCCTTTTGGAACTTAATTCATCCTTTAACTTCAGAAAGCACTCAAATCATCCTTAAACTTTATTTTTTCAGAACTCAAACAGTCCTTCCGTCACAGAACTGCACACATGGCATGTTAAGTCTCCTCCAATTGCCTTTTTTAATTTTTATAATCTTATGTGGACAATACACCTCACCAGATTGATGACATGGCAATATTGTCTCTCTTTGTCAATGCAGAACAGCCCCCTTGTAGATTTACTCTCACTTCTAGGTTTCTTCCAACCTGGGGAGATTCCATCAGGTAATTCTCGGGGAAATCAACCTGAAGCTGGTAAGTTTCATTTGCATATAAAGTTCCAGGGGCTCCATTTACTTCAATGACCCACCTACCAACCAGAAATATTAAAAATTTAATGCAAATAATATCCTTAAAAGGAATATGGAGGAACTAATTGAAGACAAACATAACAAAAACCTCTAAAATTAATAAAACCAACATAAATATCCTAAGATTTTCCATTTTCATTCATCTTGAAAAATCCAGAAACACAAGATCCAAAATTTCTCTCTCTTATTCTTCTTTTCTTCCCGAAAAACAAACAGGAAAAAGAAAAAGGCACTATCTGAAAGACTCAAAAAACCATCTACCTCTGAAGATTATCGGTGACTTGGCGTTTGAAACTGGCGGGAGGGTTGACCTACAATTAAAAGAAATACTACATAAAATTAAAAGAAAAGCCATAAGGAAGGTTGAATAAAAAACAAAATTGAAAATTACACAAATGAACTTCAAAAATTAGAATCAAACCTACAATTTTTCACAGATTATTGTTATTATTTTTAATTAATTTACTCAGGGATTGTGACGAGCACAGGTTGCCAAGCTCTCCTTAGTAATCTATACCGAAACGCCCTTGTTATCTGCCTCAGAGAACTGCCGTGGCGTGCCGCTAGATCGTCACTTACGCTCCTCGGAGTCGGTAGCAACCCTTCACTATCATCCACTCCACTCTTTACTCTCCCTCTCTTCAAAAGGCAACGAAGACACAAAAAGCTCCTTCAATTTCCTTCTCCTCTTCCCTTCTCTCTTACTGCCACCCTTCTTGTTACTGGTTTCAGTAGCAGCAGTTTTTTTCGGAGACCGATCCGCAACCTTCTCCCGGTCATTGCAATGGCCGAATCGGTGGCGCTCTGAACTAGACGAACGTTTAAGAAGCATGTGGAGAGTTTTATGTCGGTGGATGTGGATGACAGGACTTGCATTCGGGCTCCTCCCCGGACTTCCTGCTATCGTGCATTGCGTGGCTAGTAGCTTGAATTTCTACAGAGTCGCCATTAATTCGTAGATCGATCTAAATCTAAACCAGGTGCTACTAATTAACACTCCTCATGTTCCTCTGAATCCTGGAACTTAGATCTGAGAGAAAAACGGATGAATCGGATTCTTGGATTTATTAGGGATTTTGGAAGGAAAAAAAATTGGATGGAAAAAAATTATCATCAATTGGGTGAGGGGTATTGTCCACATAAGCTTGTAAAAATTAAGAAAAAGGTAATTGGAGGAGACTTAACGTGCCATGTGTGCAATTCCGTGACGGAAGGACCGTTTGGGTTCAAGAAAAATAAAGTTTAAAGATGATTTGGGTGCTTTCTGAAGTTAAAGGACGAACTAAGTTTCAAATAGAAAGTTTAGGGACCAAATTGGGTATTAAACCATTAAAAAATGGTTCCCACAAATGCCAAATCATCCAAAATTCATCGGATTTGATGGAATTAAGACATGGTATGTCGTTGGTTAAATTAGATTAATTTATTTTTATTAAAAGTGCATAAATTAATTCATTTTTATATAAAAATGTATAAACTAAGGATAATGCTACATATACACTCATCCTTACACCTACCGTTACACACATGCACTTTTCGTCACTTTTTCCGTCAATCTTCGTTATATTTCGTTAACTCCCAAACGGCACCCAACCCAGCCCCAAAACTTGCAGTTGCCCCTCTCGAAACCTGCAATTTCATCCTTTCATTTTCTCTCTCTATCCCTTCATCAACACTAGATCTGGACATTTTCCCTTCTAATTTCTCTCTTTTGCTAGGTTGCTGCTGGGTCATTCACAATTTAAGCAACAAAAGTACAGGGGGAAAGCGAATTAGAAGGATATATAGAAGAGATCAGATAGATTTTCAACCTTCTTCCTTCTTTTGCCTCCTTCTCCTTTCTTTTTCTTCTTCTTTCCCTCTCCTCCCCCCTTCTTCCTTCTCTTCCCCCCTCCTTGATCAAGTTCTTGAGAACTTGTGGGTTCC